GACAAAGCCAACCCTACATTAATCAACGCTGATGTGTTTGAAAGGGAAACTAATAAGAACTCTTGACACACACAAAAAGGTGCTTCTTTAAAAAAAAAAAAAACAAAACAAATCTCTATCATAAAACATAGGAGAAATACATTTTTACCTTTATCCGATGTGATACTAAATAGTACTCACATTTGTAGTTTTAAAATAAATAACATTTAAATCCTCAAATTTTTAAATACAGGTTTTTATTCATGATTTGGTCAATATGATCTTTTAAATAAAATAATAAAAAACGGGAGTCATATGAATGTTATTGATTAAAATATAAAAAATATGAATATTTATTTAAAAGTAATATATTTTTTTTATTGAAAATATAAATGAAGTAAAGAAAATAAATATGAATATAGAGATAAGTATAATTTTTTTCTAAAATATGTTAAAAAAGAAAAGAAAAAGAGATACAAAAGGAAAAGTTCCTTAACAATGTCTTTTATTATAGTACATGTACGAGGTATTGGGCTGAGCCCAATAAGTATCCTACACAGAAGATAAAACTGAAAGAAAATAAAAATAGTACTTTGTTCTTTTTCATAAACATTTGTTTGCAAAAAATAAATTGGAACGCGGAAATTTCTCAAATCTAATAATGTGAAATGTTTTAATTTAAATAAAAATATCTATATAAATTAAATATTTATGTGTAACAGAATATTATTTCACTATATTAAATTTAACTTTGTAAGTTTGATTTATTTTGAAAAAATAAATTTTAAAACTTCTTTTGTAAAATTTCTGAAAAGGAGATTTTCTGAAAAAATATGTTATTAAATCCTTACTTAAATAGCAATGTCTTTTTGACAATACAATTTTTAAGTCACCATACAAATAACTAAAGAGTAACCATCGTGTAAGCAAGAATACACAAAATGATAATACTTCAAAGTTTGGCCTTCAATTACCATCATTTCCATCGATTTAACCACCCTAGAAATCCAATGAGAGCTCATCCAAACAAACATCTTTTCCAGAAATATCCCTCGTCAATGATTTGAACCCGACAGACACCTTTGTTGAATAATCGTTTCTCATTTTGAAAACAATAATTCTAAATTTGCTTAATATGTATTCTTACTAACAACTATTTTTACTTGAGAAATATTTGGTCCCTTAATATTTTAACGCATATTAGAAAATATTTAATTTATATAAATTTAGGATAAAGTATATTCTTTTACAGCTTTTTATATTATTTTCAGTTATTTTATTAATAACTTAATATTATTTAATATTATTTACAAATACCTCGGGAAAAATAAAAATACTAATCTATCTTCTTAATTACTTTAATACATGTAAGACTGTAGTTTTAAAAATGGCATTCGAACTTTGAAAATTATAAAACAAACAAAACACTTAAAACAAAGATTAAAAATAGAAAGACTATTAAACTAATAATAATTCAATACCCAAACTTATATATCCATTTTCTTCTAACATTCATAAATTTGAATATAACTTAAAAAAAAAAAAATATATATATATATATATATATATATAATGGAACCATTCCTCCTATATTTAATTATAAATACGAAATTTTTAAAATTTTATTTATAAATTAATATTTTTATTAAATAAATTTTAAAAAATTATATATGTATTAAAATATCCAATTATAATCAATTGTTTAAGTTTAATTAATTAATATTTATAATTTAAATTATAATATTATAATATATTTACATGTTTTAATAATATAATATAATATAAAAATAAATATAATATTTTAATTGTATATATTTTTTAATTTTAATATATAAATATTTTTAAAAATTAAATTTTTAAAAAATGGATGCGCGTTTCTATCTCCCTTTTGACCTAACGGATTAATTATTACCGTTGGCGTTTTTTCGATCTTTACACATGTCATGCTCCACCGAAATTTTTCTCTGCTCTTACCGTATTCCACTTGATTGTGTCCACTGATATACTGAAGTGTTGAAGAAGATAGAATCACTGGGATGACACACATTTGGTTGAACAAAAATATGATAAGATGAAAGCGAAGAAAAGCGGGGAGATGGGAGAAAGACGTTCTTCGCTGATGCACGAAGAAATGAGATGAAAGCCCCCTGGACAAATTGAAATATCCAACTTACCCTCATTCTCGCAAGATTCATTGGTGCATGCATGCGAGAGATTCTTAAGAATTTCTGCAAAAAGTTGAGAAAATATAATTTATATAAATTACTATAATATAAAATATATATTCCAAAATATAACTTATTTTCATTTATATATATTATAGAAATTAAAATAAATTATATTTTAGAATATATAATTTGAAAAAGTGATCGATCATTTAAAAAAGTAATCGATCATTTGAAAAATTATATATTCTAAAATATAATTTATTTTAATTTCTATAATATATATATAAATGAAAATAAGTTATATTTTGGAATATATATTTTATATTTTAGTAATTAATATATTTATATTTTAGTCATTAATATAAATTATATTTTAGAATATATATATATATATATATATATATATATATATATTTTACATGAAAATATTTTAAAATAATCGAGATTTTAGATAGCGGTTAACGTGGAACCGCTATCGATGTTACTTATAAGAGCTGTTAACATTTTAACCGCCCTTAAAAGTGATCATATAATAGCGGTTTCACGTTAACCGCTATCTAAAATCTCGATTATTTGAAAAAGGATCGATCATTTGGAAAAACAATCGATCATTTGAAAAATTATATATTCTAAAATATAATTTATTTTAATTTCTATAATATATATATAAATGAAAATAAGTTATATTTTGGAATATATATTTTATATTTTAGTAATTAATATAAATTATATTTTAGAATATATATATATATATATATATATATATATAATTTTACATGAAAATATTTTAAAATAATCGAGATTTTAGATAGCAGTTAACCTCGAACCGCTATCATATGTTACTTTTAAGAGCGGTTAACATGTTAACCGCTCTTAAAATTGATCATATAATAAGCGGTTCCAGGTTAACCACTATTTAAAATCTCGATTATTTAAAAATGTGATCGATCATTTGGAAAAGTAATCGATCATTTGAAAAATTATATATTCTAAAATATAATTTATTTTAATTTCTGTAATATATATATATATATATATATAAATGAAAATAAGTTATATTTTGGAATATATATTTTATATTTTAGTCATTAATATAAATTATATTTTAGAATATATATATATATATATATATATATATATAATTTTACATGAAAATATTTTAAAATAATCGAGATTTTAGATAGCGGTTAACGTGGAACCGCTATCATATGTTACTTTTAAGAGCGGTTAACATGTTAACCGCTCTTAAAAGTGATCATATAATAGCGGTTCCACGTTAACCGCTATCTAAAATCTCGATTATTTGAAAATGTGATCGATCATTTGAAAAATTATATATTCTAAAATATAATTTATTTTAATTTCTATAATATATATATTTAAATGAAAATAAGTTATATTTTGGAATATATATTTTATATTTTAGTCATTAATATAAATTATATTTTAGAATATATATATATATATATATATATATATATATATATTTTACATGAAAATATTTTAAAATAATCGAGATTTTAGATAGCGGTTAACGTGGAACCGCTATCAGATGTTACTTATAAAAGCAGTTAACATTTTAACCGCTCTAAAAAGTGATCATATAATTAATAGCGGTTCAGCGTTAACCGCTATCTAAAATCTCGATTATTTGAAAAAGTTATCGATCATTTGGAAAAGTAATCAATCATTTGAAAAATTATATATTCTAAAATATAATTTATTTTAATTTCTATAATATATATATATATATATATATATAAATGAAAATAAGTTATATTTTGGAATATATATTTTATATTTTAGTAATTAATATAAATTATATTTTAGAATATATATATATATATATATATATATATATATATATATTTTACATGAAAATATTTTAAAATAATCGAGATTTTAGATAACGGTTAACGTGGAACCGTTATCATATGTTACTTTTAAGAGCGGTTAACATGTGAACCGCTCTTAAAAGTGATCATATAATAGCGGTTTCACGTTAACCGCTATCTAAAATCTCGATTATTTGAAAATGTGATCGATCATTTGGAAAAGTAATCGATCATTTGAAAAATTATATATTCTAAAATATAATTTATTTTAATTTCTATAATATATATAAATGAAAATAAGTTATATTTTGGAATATATATTTTATATTTTAGTAATTAATATAAATTATATTTTAGAATATATATATATATATATATATATATAATTTTATATGAAAATATTTTAAAATAATCAAGATTTTAGATAGCGGTTAACGTAGAACCGCTTATCATATGTTACTTTTAAGAGCGGTTAACATGTTAACCGCTCTTAAAAGTGATCATATGATAGCGGTTCCACGTTAACCGCTATCTAAAATCTCGATTATTTTAAAATGTGATCGATCATTTTGAAAAGTAATCGATCATTTGAAAAATTATATACTCTAAAATATAATTTATTTTAATTTCTGTAATATATATATAAATGAAAATAAGTTATATTTTGGAATATATATTTTATATTTTAGTCATTAATATAAATTATATTTTAGAATATATATATATATATAATTTTACATCAAAATATTTTCAAATAATCGAGATTTTAAATAGCGGTTAACGTGGAACCGCTATCATATGTTACTTTTAAGAGCGGTTAACATTTTAACCGCTCTTAAAATTGATCATATAATAGCGGTTCCACATTAACCGCTATTTAATATATATTTGTAATAGCGGTTATTTCTAGAACCGCTATTTTAAATCTCGATTATTTGCAAAAGTAATCGATTATTTGAAGAAGTAATATATTATTTGCAAAATTATATATTCTAAACACGAGAGAAGGAGGTAAGTCATGAACAGAAGTCACGGGCTGTACATGCAGAGGTCACAGGCTGTACATGCAGTGGTCACGGGCTGTACAGCCAACTTCACGTGTTCACAGCTGATAGAACTTGAACCAAAGCCCGTAGTTACAGGACTTATTCTTTCTTCTATAGTTACAGCTGATAGGGAAAATTATTGTATTATATAAAGCAAAGCTAGTCTCATAAGACTAGCTAAAAGACTCTATTCCATATGTCAAAGCTTGGATTTGTGTTGTAGGTTGGATCTTCGCCGGCGGCCATTAACTTCGGTGTGACCTTGTCCCACCAACAGCTTGCTTGGTATCTTGTCGGAGGAACACCCCAGGTATGGTTCTGTGTCTTCTCTGTCATGGTTGGAACCTCAAACTTGGTTGGTACGTTTGTTGTTGGAGTCTGTGTGCATGCATAAGAGTGTGTGTGTGACCATTCAGATTTGAGGTATAAAACATGGCCAAACCTCCTCCACTCCAACAAAAAATGTGCACCATACGACCATGGTTTCTGACTTGTGCATTGGTTATGTTGTTGTTGCAGGCTGTATCTTAAGGGGCACCGTCAAGTTCGCCGTCAGCTTCTCCTACAAAGAGTTTCGTTCATATCTTCTCCCACAGGTATGGTTCATATGTTGTTTTCCATGGTTGCAACCTGAAACTGGTTCTACTGGTGTTGTACTCCATGCATGGTTGAGGTAAAAATTGGTAGCTACTGCATATGCATCTTGGAAGCAAAAACTGGGAATGATGGAAGCAAAAATTGGAACGAAAAACTGGAACCAAAATCCCTGTTTTTGCAATTATAATTATTATATGGAAATCTTGAATTTTTTTATATATACTGAAAAGAAAAAAATAATTGAGAGATACATGAAAAAAATTTAGTAAAATTTAGGACAGACAATATTAATGCATAATTAAATAAGGAAAAAAAAGTTAAATATAGTTATATTTAAAAAATAAATTTATTATTTTATAATAAATGAAGTATGTAAAATTGAGAAAAGAAAAAAATTTTAAAAAAATGAGAATTTGTTAAAAAAGAAGTAAAAATATTAGAGGAAAAAAATTATTAGTAGTTTTGTAAATAATTTTTGGTTTTGTGATACTTGGTTTGCGAGATGGAAATTTTGAATTACTTCCATTAAACATTAATTATATTATATATATATATATATATATATATATATATATATATATATATATATTTTGCAGATGGCACACAAAAACATCGAGGTCATTGGTTTAGACAATGACGATATAGATACTGGTCTGGATATAAACATAATTTCACATGTACAAAGTGAGATAAAAAAGCGAAGCGAAGTAGGAGCGATGACAATTTTTTGTTTGATAGCTTATGGATTAAATATGTTGTCTATGGTAACTTGTAGTAGCGGTAACATTAGGGACTTTATTTCTGAAAAAGAACGTCGTCGACATGAGTTGATGTCATACCTTATTCATACTGAACAATCTCGTGACATTATTCGCATGGGACCGGAGGCGTTCATTAACTTGTGTCAACGAGTAAGGACAACTGGATTAGTAAACGATGGGTTACAATCAACAGTGGAAGAACAAGTGGCTAAATTTCTCCATATTATCGGACATAACGTTAAAAATCGAGCTGTTTCATTTTTTTTCCATCGATCAGGTGAAGCCGTTGGTCGACACTTTCATAACGTGTTGAATGCGATAATAATGTTGGACGAACAATTAATTGTTCAACCATCAGGAAGGGATGTGTGTACGTATATATTAAACAACAACCGATTTTACCCATACTTTAAGGTAATCTACTTACCAACTTTGTGTCTATATAACATACACATAGATTGTCTAAACTTTAATGACAATAAATTTTTTTACCAATTAGGATTGTTTAGGGGCAATAGATGGAACTCATGTTCGAGTTAAAGTCGCAAGATCCGATGCCCCTTGTTTTCGTGGAAGAAAAGATTGGCCAACACAAAACGTATTTGCAGCTCGTGATTTCGACATGAAATTCACATATGTTCTAGCAGGGTGGGAAGGAACAACATCTGATTCAAGAATATTAAAGGATGTTCTTACGAGAGAGGATTGCCTTATCATACCACAAGGTTTATTATTTATAACGTGGGGATTTTGTGTATAGTCAACTAGTTTAAATATTCTAATTAGTATAACTTCAATGATTTTAAATAGGTAAATACTACTTTGGGGATGTTGGATTTATGTTAAAAGCAAACATAATGACCCCTTATCGAGGCATTAGATACCACCTTAAAGAGTATTCTCGACGAGCTCCACAAAACCCCCGAGAATTATTTAACCATCGACATTCGTCTCTTAGAAATGTAATTGAAAGAACATTTGAAGTTTTGAAGAAAAGATTTCCTATAATAGCTAGTGGAACAAAGCCTCATTATTCATTTGATACAATGACGAATATAGTCCTAACATGTTGCATTCTACACAATTTTCTTCGAGGGATAGACAACGATGAATCACTGTTAGCTGAAGTGTATCGAGAGTTGATGGAACAAGATGTGGATAATATGTCGACTCAAGTTCGGGAAGAGGATTATAGGGAAGGGTCAAACTTAAGAGATACTATAGCAAATCAAATGTGGATAAATTATCAAAGTCATTAGATTTTGTATGTAATAATATATTTAATAAGATGTACTATTGTTATTGTTGAAATACGATTACATTACGATTATCTATTTATAATAATTAAATGTTGGTATCGTAATTACATATATTATCTTTCCAATAGGTTTAAAATGAACAGAGGAAAGGGTATTGCACCGAATTCGTCAACTGTAGTGCGCGAGTTTACAAAATGGACTGATGACATGGACTTTCGGTTGTTGACTGCTATGCTTCATGAGGCAAGGTTGGGTAATCGGGTTGATGGTAGTTGGACAATCCAAGCATATAATAATATAGTTGAATCCCTAAGACAGTCTGGATTAATTGGTATAATAACTAAAAATAATGTTAAAAATCGACAAAAAAGTCTTAAGGATAGATGGCGGGAGGTCCACGATTTGTTTCATGGACTTAGTGGATTCGCTTGGGATGATATCACAAAACGGTTTATGGCTGAGCAAGAAGTATGTGATGACCTAATCAAGGTACTATTATATGAATTATCATTTGTTGATATAACAAAATATAACAATTACGAGTGTTAACCATTCTCATTAATTTGTAGGCGAAACCTTCTACAGCTAAATGGAAACTGTCAACTATAAGGCATTATGATTTGATGGAAGAATTATGGGGTGCTGATCGAGCCAGTGGACATATGACAAGAACTTCGCGTCAGTCCCGAATGAATATCAGTTCTCGAAGGGCAACAATCGACTTGAACGTTGATGTGGACCCCACACCAGAGGAGCAGTCATTTCACTTTGGCTTTGATGCAGGATTTGATACAACTTATCGATCACCTCCACGCATGGGTTCCGACAGTCCTGCTGAGGGTGTTCAGTCAATTCCATCTGTTGCGTCTACTGGTTCAGGTGGAACCTCTTCATCTCGGGACACAAAAAGAAAAATGTCTATGGTTGATGTGATGGAAGGTCAATTTGACAAACTAACAATGAGGTTGGACACATTTACAGATTACCTTGGGCAAGGTAATACATTGACCCAACGATTATCTGACATAGCTGAAAGACAGGTGGTCGCCATTGAACGAAGAAATGATTTAATTAATGAGCAAGTTAATATGATGAGACGATCATCAACATTTCAACATTCCGAGTCAGATATATGGGACATGTTAGTCGGCATGAACCTAAATGACGAGCAACTTATGCTTCAGTGTTATAATCATTTGTGTACTCACGAATCACATGTTAGACGACTTTTTGGCTTGCCCTCACATCTTCGTCTCTCTCAGTTGTTCATGTTCTTGGGTGGAAGTGATTGAATGATCTAAACTCGAGGACTTGACTGCAAAGGATCGATAACATTATAATTATTTGTTTGAAGAGCATTAGTGTGCATAGGTTTATAATTTTAGTAATGTTTGTCAAATATCTAATGTCCGTATTAATTAATATTATTTGATAATTAAAATTTATGACATGTAATTCTAATATATATATATATATATATTATGTTGAAAATATAAAAATATGCCAAAAATATATATTAATATAATTTTTAACTAAATAATAAAATATTTTTACTATTAAGTTTACATGAATTTTTCATTTAATTATTATTCTATTTTCACTGTATTTTATATTTATTTAAAATAATAATTTACAATTATATTATTAGTTTTCATAATTATTTGTTATTATTAGTCAATATTAATTATTATTTTATATTTTATAATTATTTAATTATTAGTCAAATAATTTATTTAATATGTCAAAATTATTTTTTTATGGATATGGAATGTACATAATTTTGTAATTGTTTATTTATATAATTTTTAATAACTATTTTAAAAAAAGTTAATTTTTTAAATTTGTTTCCACTTACAAACACTTTTAAATTTGTTTTTTCTTTTAAATATATAATCAATGTTAAAATATGGATAATTAATAAAAAAATTATATTTATAATAATTTGAACCTTATTTTATACACAAGGGTAAAATGGTAATTTTCTTAAATAATCAATTAAAATTATAATTTTTATATCTCATATCAATCAAATCACTCGTAATTTTCCATAAACTTTTCTTTCACTTTTCATTCATCCAAACAACTTTAATTTCACTCTCATTTTTCTTCAAATTCCTCCTTTTCCACCCTCTCATTTCCACTCTCTCAAATCACTCCAACCAAACATTAATAATAGAATCAAAATGGATCCACTGATAACCCATCTTCACATCCTACAGTGTAAATCAACTGTATTTTCAAAATATATTAGAGGAAAAAATATTTTCACATCTAATATTTTCTAAACATCCTATAAACAATTTTATTTTTTGTTGATTGATAAAAAAAAAGAGTTAAATAAATAAATAATAATATAAAAATGTAAAAGTAAAATGGAGGAATGTTTGAAAAAAGGTGGGTTTTCAATATTTTACCAAAATGCAAATGTATGCCTGTACTGCCTGCAAAATGCAAAAAGTTAAAACGCAACAGCGTCCATTGAAGTAGCACAAACAGAAAAGTTAAAGCTGGAGCAATTTCAGAGAAGCTTCTCTCATCAATCAGTATCCTTACTTACAACTTTGTTCTCTCCTTCAGCTTCACTTTTGCTTCTCAAACTCGTCACAACAACATCTCTCGTCTTACATGATACGATCCCCAAACAAAACTAACAAGGAGAGAAAAGAGAGAAAGCGAAAATACTTATCCTCATAAGCATGACTTCAGTGTCACCGGGTCATCGGAGAAAATTCTCCGGTAAGGACCCGCCGAGTTCGAGGCGGCCGGAGAAACACTGGAGCGGCGGCCGCGGATTGGCACTGACACTGAAGGCTCCGTTGGAAAACAGTGAGCGTGGTCTTCGAGCATCAAAGGTGTTGGTGAACGTGAGCATCGAGAAGTGCGTGGGAGCGGTGCAGGTGGTGATGTCGCCTGAGGGCACCGTCGCCGATCTGATAAAGGCGGCGTTGGCTATTTACGAGAAGGAGAAGAGGAGGCCATTCTTGGAGAACAACGATCCCAAGTGCTACGACCTTCACTACTCTTCCTTCGCCCTTGAAAGTAAGTAAAATAACCTTTTATTCCATCTTTCCCTTCTTACTTTATAATTCCTTATAGTAATTGATGAATAAACTATTTTACTGGGTGCAGGTTTGAAGGTAGATGAAAAGATAATGAAGTTGGGATCAAGGAATTTTTTTCTATGCTCAAAGCCTCCCACCTCTTCTTGCCCTGAGAAAGAGAATATGGCAATTGATTCTGCATTTCCTTGGATGGTATTCGTTCCTCTTCTGCTTTAGATCGGGACCATAGGCATCTCACCTTCGTCAACAACCGTCTTTCAAAGCTTTCATTTTAATTTTTTTGCAGTTACCTTTTGTTGTATACGTAACTTCACTGGAATGTGTAACTTTCTCACATATATGTTTGAATGGCATTGAGCGTGTTGCCAGTAAATAAACATGTGCTTAATCATTTTAATATTCTCTACTTAAAATTTCATACTTGATGGAAGTTCATGCATTACCTTTATTCTTTTACCAACATTTAAAGTTATCATATGTCCTCTCTTCATCTCTAATTATTAACTTGTTTCTGGTGGAATTTCGATCGATTTCGATTCTAAGGGTGTTTTGGTCCTAATCAAAATTCTACCACGTAAGTTCTTTTTACTTAGGCTAGCAATTTGATTTTCAATCGAAAACGCGTATGAGAATTGAAAACTACAGGATATCGAAAATGTGGTTTTTGGTATTTTATGTCTAAAATGCTTGACTCAAACAAAACGAGTAAAGTATCGAATCGAGCGAAAGAGAATATTAAATTGCAAGAAAGTGCGAAAACCCGAATTTGCAAGAAATTAAGTTTGCGAGATAAATAAAGGACGAGGAAATCGAAATGTGCGGGAAATGTAAATTGCTAAAACCCATTAAAATTGCACGAGAAAGTAAATAACGAGAAAATCGAAATGTGCGGAAAATGTAAATTGCTAAAACCCATTAAAATTGCACGGAAAGTAAATAACGGGAAATCGAAATGTGCGGAAAATGTAAATTGCTAAAACCCATTAAAATTGCACGGAAAGTAAATAACGGAAATCGAAATGACATTGAATGTAATCTACAAGAATATGAAATTGCTTGAATTGAAATGGCTCGAAAGTAAATTACCAAGGAAAATATAGAAAGCGATAAATGTACTCGGTGAGCAAGGAAATCCAGATTGCCGAAACTTCATGGTGTTCGTCGTTTCTCCGGTAGACTTTTCACTCTCGATTCTGTTCTCGCCAATTTCCCCCGTTCCTTCCTTCTTTGCTCTATTTATAGGGCATCTTTCAAGCCTTCCAAGAACGGTTAACACGATGTTACCACGTTCTACGTGCGTATGGCGATTTTTCTTCTATTGTTTCCCCACGTTCCCATGATTTTTGGCTCTTCCATAACTTAGAAGCTGCTTTCCATGCGTGCGTTTTGACTATTTTCCTTCAAGGTTTAGCAGAGGTTATGATATCTACAACGAGCCTTCCCTTTGATTTAATCGAGAACTTTGCATCCTTGGTATCGATTTATTTTAACTTTAACTCCATGTTAAGCTTTCGACTATTACACCTTCTCTTCGATTTTACCTTTCGATTTTATGTGTCACGTTCTTTATAATCGGACATCGGGAAAGTTCCCTTTCGATTCATTTCTCGATCGGGCTTCTCGATTCCACACTAACAAAATGCCCCCTTGGAAGAATATGAATAGTTTATTTATATTCTTTCAACATTTCCCGCCTAAGTGTTCGGAGGCCCATAGAACTTTAGGGTTTAGGGTTTACGGGGTTCTAGGGTTAAAAGGGTTTTAGGTTTCCCTTTCAGTTTTACGTCGCTATCATATCGATCTGTTGCTTTTACGGTACATTATATTCATTACTTTTCGTATCTGTCGTTCCGGCTCCACTAGGAGATTTTCTCTTTTAACCTTTCTCTTGGTCTTTGTTACTGGTTTTTATGCGAACTTTTACCCTAAGTACTGTACTTTCATCGTCTTCCTTGAGCTCTTGCTTTCATCTCTATACCTTCATCTTTTCAGTTGCTTTTCTTCATCCTACTCACTACTTGAAATGGCCACTTCCTCCAAGTCTTCGACTTTTCCGTTCCACCTCTTTCCTCGATGCCTTCTAACCTGCTTGGAAATTAACAACCGGAAGTTCGCTCCAGTCCCTTTGATGGAGGAGGCTTCCAGAAAAATTCGTTGAAACGCAGGTACTAATCCCTTACACTTGTTGATGGGGTTAATTTTGCTTTTGGGGGTCCACTCAGTCCTATCGATGACATTTTTACTCCTCTTAACCTCTCGACTAGTCCGGCTTTGGTTCATCGACACGAAGTTAGGGTTGATTTTACGAATCTTACTTCTAAAGTGTATAGAACGGGCCCTCCTTCCAAAAACCTCTGTATATTCGATGGTTTGATAGGGTCAAGGCTAAGTTTGGGGATCATCTGGAGAATGCTTGGTATTTTCGATTTTTGCACTGTCCGATGTGACTGTCTCATTTGGACATGGCGATGTTCTTATCTGCGGTGCATTTATGGAATCAAGACTTACATGTTTTGGAGTTGCCTTGTGGCCTCGTGTCGCCCACCCTTTTCGAGATAGGCTGCTATTCTTGGGTTGAAACCCATAGGGGAGAGGTATTTTCGGGTGCATATCCCTCGAGATAATTCATTGAGGTCGAAAATTGATTGGGAGTCGAAGGCCTATGGGCATTTTCTCGAGAAACACTTTGCGATGACCCCTCGATAGCGATTCTCGACGAAGAACACGTAGCATTTTTGGTGTATTGGTTATGTACTCATGTTTTTTGCCCCGTTCAATCCAAATTTCCCCCCATTTGTTCAATCTTGCATATCTCCTTCACCTAGGCCACCCTAGACTTTGTTTAGCCAAAACTTTATTAGCACATGTATATCTCGCTTTCGACGAAGGCTGTCGATATTTTGAGTACCCCTAAGGCATCGGGGAATTTTTACGGCCCTGTTTGGTTTATTCAATTATGGTTAATTTCGATATTTGAAAGTATCCTTCCTCGTATTTCTCTTGTTCCCCCAAGTATAAATATAGAAGGGGCCGATTATCCTCACGCCATCCTCGCCAAAAGGCCGATGAGGCTACCTATTGTAAATACCTCCACTTTTTGTTGACTAGATCCTCCTTTGATTCGACCTTGGCCCAGTTTACAGTAAATCTTGGACAAATAAATGGTCGACTTAGGGGACCAGTTTGGTTTAAGTCAAAATTCCCGGCTTCGTCTCCGGGTTACAATTGGAGCTGGTCGACATATGGAGTAGTTATTTGACCCATGATATATTATTATCGGGTTTTCGGCCTAAGGATTTCAAGTTTATTACTTATTACCCGCAGTTTCTTTCGAGGCGGTTTGGTCTAAGCCAATCCCTACCTTTCTTCCCCCTCGATACATCCCCCAAGTCCAAATTAGCTGAATCTTCACTTAATCGGGAGCTTCTCAAGCTTTTACCTAAAATCCGATGCACTTTTACCCCTATGCTTTCGATTCGAATTATTTATCTACTGTGGGTTTTTCTCGATGGTGGGTCGGTTGGTTCTCGAGTAGTCATGCTACTTTTGATGAAGTTCGCCGAGCCGACTACTCGACCTTCTCTTGTGTTGCGGGACAAGTCAAAATCGAAGAAAGGTACACACTTCCACTTGTCTTCAAATATCTCGATTCGAGAACTTTTATCAAATATGTTACACCCCACTTGAAATTAGAATCGACCTATTATGATCTTGTTATCTCCTTATCCAATAAAACGGACATTAATCGATCGAACCACAAAATAATCAATCCTTTAGGTAGAACTCCTTTTGAAATGTATTGTCCAAATCGCCTTCCAACTTTTCCCACGACTCCTTTTGGACTTGCCAAACCATTAACTCATCCAAAATGGGTTCGAGAATTGAGAACCGTTAGGGAAACACGTCGCCCAAAACCCATAAACAAAAATATTTACGTCTCAAAATTATCTTATTTCCACTTACCTTAACCTTCACGAGGCTCTTTTGCCTCCCTGGCTTGTACATATCGGCCAGAGTTAAGATCTTGACTCCATCACCTTTTGGTGAGAGTTTACTACTTTCTTATACTTTTTGATTACGTATATTATAAGTTAATCCATCTTCTTTTATTGGCGGTTTCGAAATCTACTAAGGTCTCACTGCTGAGAAAGGTCAAGAGAAGGGACAAGAGGGCTGGGGATCCTCGGGTGAATCGGACCCATCGGCCTTGATCGAGAAACGCGAGACGTTCGGCCACCATTCCTACTTCTTCGAAAAAATCGAAGGTTCATTTTGACTTTTGTCTTGTCCTATTTATTTCTCGGTTTGATCGATCCTTATTCTTATACTTATCTTTTTTCGATCTTCCATTTTCGAAACAAAAATCGAAGAGTCCTCGATACGTTCGACCAATTGCTCTTGATCCACTATCGACGGACTCTAATACCATCCCCACGACAACACCTGCTACCGTTCCGATCATGTAAGTTTCCTTCTCTATACAAATTCTATGTTCTTAAGTCTCGATAAAACTTGTAACAAGGTTTCAAAATTTAATTTTCGAGGATCTTCCATCGGAGGCTGTATCGACGAATGTCGAATCCCAACTATTAACACCCCTCACTGAGGTATCTTACATATCATTGTATGATTGCTTTTACTTTTTGTGCATTTCTGTTCGACAATGGTTTTCGATTTACTGGCAACTTGAGGCTGTCTGATTCTTCCTCCTGCTTCGGCACCACTTGCACTACCTCCCCCGGTACTTATACTTTTCATTGTCACTTTTTTTTTTTTTTTCTCTCATTCTATTATGAACCTTTCGATCTTACATTCTCGATTTCTTTCTTTCCAGTAAATACTCCAATAATCGAAGTCCAAGGCTCTCCTTCCCTGTTTACGCGGAAGCAAGAGGATTCTCCTCCTTTTGCGATGCCCTCTATCGAGTTGCTCTCGGCGTCATTACCGAGAGATAGATGTGCACTGCTCCAGAACCTTTGCGTTAGAATATCGAGCTGCAATCGAAGAAGACCCTTTTCTATTCTCGATATTCTATTATCTACGAAGCGACACCGTCGAGCTCTTCTAAGACGCCCATGACTTCAGCTGAAGGACCATACCGGTGAAGCAACGCTTCAGATCTTTCTTTTATTCCTCGCCCCTTGAAGTTTTAGTGGAGTCACGCGACAAGAAAAAGCAGTTCCGGGATATTATTACGCCCTCGAGACGTGCCACGA